AGCGCCCTCTCGAGGCTGTCAGTGTGAACATTTTAATATATAAGTCAGACTGGAGTATAAGTCGCAGGACCACCCAAACCATGTAAAAAAAAAGTGTGACTTATAGTTAGAAAAATATGGTAGTTATCATCTTCACCAGTTTGCAGTTTGTTTTTATCTTATTACAAATAGCTTCTTACTCACTGCTTCCAAAATGCAGGTCTAGCGCTCACTGCTGAGTTTTCTGTACAACATTCATGATAACTAGGTATTCTACACACATAAATAAATAAAGGACGCATACAGGAAGTCAAAAGTAATGAATCAGAAGGCAACCGCTTCACCAAATAGGATTTCTATAGGACTATTATATGCTGGATTTGCCTAACAGATTTCATAACACTCATCTATTTATGCTCTGAGATATGAATGAATTGTGTGTTTTGGTTCTGAAGTTGATTATCCTAAACAAAAGTATTGGGGATACCTGTATGTGACAACAGCTTCAACTGTGATCACTGTATTTTTATTTTTTAACAGCTGGAGCACATGTTCTGCTTTTACCGTGTGAATCAAACTAAAAACATCTCCAGGCATGTTGAGAATAGCATGAGCAACCGTAAATAGCGTCGCATAAATAATCAAAAGAGTAAGCTGATTAAATGCCGTAGTATAACTTTTATCTTTCATGATCCTTTGGTTTACAGAGGCTTTAACTAAACATGATAAGAGCCGGAAGAATGTGTTTGTCTGATACGTGGTGCACACACCTCAGGCTCAAATCTTCAGTGCTGAGTTCAAGGCCTTGTGCTTGAAAACAGTTTAACTTTTACAGCCTGTGCAATGTTTCCGCTCTCAAACGCGTAGAGAACACTGCATGTCTAATGATGCACACGGACCTGGGTGCACAGGGCTGAGAGTTCGCTCTGTTAACCATCATCTTCGTCAGCCATCGTCAACTGCGTCACTGAAAAAGACGCAGCTAGATAAATATGTGATTATTGTTTGATCTTGTTATTGTTTAATGCCATTTATAGGGCACAGAGTTACTCTTTACTTATTGTCCGAAAGTAGTCAAAGGTTTGATGCCCACCAACCTCGATTTGATGATGAAAGATTTTTTTTTTTTTTTTTTTATTTAAGTGTATTTTGATTTTTATCTTGTTTTATTTTATTCCTTAGCAACTCTTTGTTCAGTCCAGATTAAAGGTGCAATGTGTAACTTTTTTCTGCTTGCAGAGTAGGGTTGTGCAAAAAATACTGAAACATTGCTCTATCATATCGTTTAATTTGATGACAGAATTGATATCCTGGGCTTGTTAGGCGTGTTCAATCAAAAATTACTAGAGTCAATCAATTTAAATTCCAAAAATTTATTCCCCTGACAATACGATTCTAATACAGAGCTCTGGGTCAGATCGTTGTCCCTAACTGCCTACAAAGTTACATAGGGCTCACATCAGGCATCTGACCCCTTGTCTGTCCCTCAGCCCAGTTTTTATAACACAATAGTATGAATATGCAAATAATATGTTGAGCAGGTTCCCGCCTTGAATCGTCGCCTTGAAGTGTCAGCATTTCTTCTTTGGGGGAAGTGGCAACCCCCTCCAAACCATTGTAAATCACACCAAGTCTGTTTAAATAAGCCAGTTGGTTATCTCCACAGTCCCACTTCTGCAAAGGAATTTGCTTAGAAGCAGGTTACCCATTATGTAGTAAACACAATGGTACTGTTTAACAGATAAGATCTCAGTGTTTAAGCTTCAACTCAATGTGTAACTTCATTAAACAATATTCAAACCACCACTTGATACAGCCTTCAGGCTGCTGTATCGATATATTGTTTATTTATTATTATTATTATTATTATTATTCATGCTATCATTTTGTTGGCATCGAATTAAAGAGAACAACGACAACAAAAAATCTAAAAATGAACATAAATCCATACATATTTCTATGATTCTTTGACTTGTCTTTGCTGCATGAACAAAAGGAACAGGAAGAAGATAAATCTTATAAAACTTTTTTTTTTTTTTAATAATCGTTCCCCACCCCAAAAACCAAACCAAGTCACCAATCAATCAATATCTCTTGTGCTTTCATTCACTTTAAACATTTTCCTTAGTCACATAGTCCCTCATTAATTCATCCTTGTACATTTTCTTGAATTTAGAAACACTAGTGCAACTGTTTAAATCATGATTTAACAAGGTCCATATCTTGACTCTATACGCAGATGCATTTCTTGAGAATACAGTTTGGAAAAAAATATTGTCTTCTATGGTCACAGTCCTCTGAGACAAACGTAAAAAGATTTTGTAGAGCTTTGGGTACTTGTCTTTGTTTGGCTCTCCACAGAACTAATAAAATCTTAAGATCAACTCTATATACTAATATATCGTCAGTTCATCTTCTTTCTGGACACTGAAACTGTGTTATATTGCAGAGAAATGTCTCAACGGATGCTTTTCTGAGTAAAACGCACTAGAGAAGAGTCTAAGGCTACGTTTATACGATGACGGTTTGAACAGAAGACGCAAAAGTAGCGCCGCATCTCCACTTTTTATTCCGCGTAGAGACGAGCGTTTTCAGGAGGAAATCTGTGTGCATACGTTGACAAAAGTGTGTGAAATTTGATTGTGTATGCACGCCAGGCGGCTCGGTGGTGGCGCTAGGTGGTGATGTATGTGACATAAACGTGTACGCGACGTGAGCAAATCTGACCAGAGTTTTGCGTCTTGGGCAGTGTAGACAGAAACGTTACGGTGGCATGTATTCAACTTTTCCACTCTGGAGGGTGGTTTCAGATTTTTGAGTTTTTAATCCCCCCAAAAACGGCATCACCGTCTAAACGAAAGGCACATCCAATAAAATATTTTGTTGTTTTTACCCGCAAGCGTTCTCATGTAAACAAGCCCTAAAGAGTGTGAATATCACGAGTTGTGTTTCAGCTTCATATTTTTGTCATTCCTGGATCTATCAACACAAAATAAAAAAATGACTGAAAGAACAAACCCACCTCTGTTAGAATATTTCAACAGAGAGCTTCTTTGGAGCCGTTTGCTCAGAAACAACATCATAGTTAAGAGTTTTAGAGTCCTGCTCCCAAAAAAGTGAACAGTTTGGTCTGTTATGTTGTTTGGTTTGGTGTGTTCTTCCACTCATAACGTCTTAGGTACAAACAGTGTGTTCAGGTGTACCTCTGCAGGATCAACTGACTCCATGGTACAGTTTTTTGTTTGTGACACCCACCGTATCAAACGATTCGATATTATGGTGAATATCATTGAACCCTACTTTCTGTATATGTGAACTTCTGAGTATTTTTTGGTTTATTTTACCTAATTATTTTGTGAAAGAGCTACAGTTGTGTTGCTTATTTGGAGAAAGTTAACTTGTTTATGCATTACACGTGACATTTTCACTGTTTTGGGTGTTTTTCAGATGAACTTAGTGGTTTAATAAAGACATTTATTATCACGGCCATTTGTTTTTACTGAACTGTATCGAATCGTTTTGAAATACAGTATATCGTATTGAATCATATTGAATCAAAAGAGCACTGTATCGAAAACCGTATCGTATCATGGCCTATCGTATCGGCAAATTCTTAATGATACCCAGCTCTACTGTGGAGGTATTATTGTCCCATAGTTTAGCATAAACGCATCTACCTTGTATTTCATTCGGGTGTTTTTATTGCTTGTAGATATATCTCAAGAACACATCTATTCTGATTGTGGAATGTGCTCACCATTCCACAGATCTGACCTTGAGCTTGGCTTGATGGCATCACCTACATGTCTCTGAGGAGAGTTAAATATGGAGGCAAGAAAGTGACAGACCTTAAACCAGAAAAGTTACACAGAGCACCTTTAAGTCCAGGTTCAGTCTTGGTTCAGTCCCAGTTTAGTGCCAGTTTCCACCTGTTTTTAGATCGCGTTCACAGAGCCCTGATTTGGTCTTGGTTTGACTCCATAGTAGTCCGGATTAGGGATGGGCATGATTAGTCGATTAATCCATAATTGATCATTAAGAATTTCATCGATTATGTTTATTTTAATCGAGAAACCAAATGTAAGTTGCTGTGCGTAGCGTGACCAAACAGGGGTCTGTACATGTGTCTCTCTGCACTCAGAAGGAGCGAGCAAACACAAACAGTCGGTCAGCCTACAACGTGCTGAAGCGCAAATGCGTATTTAACGATGACTTGTACAAGAAATTTCCCATGTTCCGTTCCGGTCGGGACAAGTGTGAGTCCATGTGCACAGTGTACAAAGCAGCACATATGTTTCTGTGTCCAGTGGGAAAAAGTTTTACCAGGTCAGAGTAGCGCAACGTCGATGGCGAGTCCCCACCTCCCTCCCCCCGTACGGTGTCCTGGTTTTGACAAACGCAAATACATATATGGTCACACTAACCTGTATTCCACTGAGTCGTGTCGCATCAGCGCACAAGAGCTGTTTTGTTTTTTTACTTCGCTTAGTTCATGCAAATTAGCCATGTGTTTTAAAGTTTTGTTTCTGTGAGACTTGCATATTAAACACATTATATTGTCAAACTGGCTGATGTGGCTCTAGAGTGGTGATGGTTTATATGTCATGAAGTTGAATTTATTTATGCAGATTAGTAGTGCAGATAGTAATAATAATGATAATTTTAATATAAAAATGTTAATGATTAATCGATAATCGATTGTTAATTCTCCCGACGATCGATTAAGAAAATTTAATCGAATGCCCATCCCTAGTCCCGACGCTGGTTTGGTTCTGTTCTAGTCCTGGTTTAGCCTTGGTTTAGTGCAAGTTTAGTTAAGGATTTTGTTCCAGTTCTGTCCCAATTTTGATGTAGTTTGAACGCACCCTTAGTCCATAAATTACTTCTGCTGAACTCTAAGATAGCTGGTTCTCAAAAATTTCCCAAATCTCTGTGACCGCAGTTACTAATCAGAGGTACTATATTATCATCCTCCTCAGTTTTTTAAATGGGAGCCAGTACAAAGAGGCAGACTTACTGTGTGTGGTGGTGCTTGTTATCAGCAAGGCTCTGATCTTGTGAGGAGGAGAGTGGTCCGGGCGCTGGAGAGGCCTGGAAAGAGACCAAAACAAGGCCGATAATGATGCTGCCACGGCTCACACGTTTACAGACATGATTGAAGACTGTGGAACTGGGTTATGTGTGGATGGACTTTATGGATCTCAAAAATCTAACTCAGATTTTGTTAGAAAATGTTGGAATAGTTTGGTTTTACATAGATGGAGTAATATTGGTGATGACGAAGTGCCAGCAATCAAAGTTAAATGTTGATGGTCATTATTATATCATTGTCTATTACAGAAATTGGGGGAATGAACTATTATATTCAGTTGTTAATAATATGAAGTACTCATTCTGCCCTTAAGAACATGGAGCAAAGCTTTTGAAGACCCATTGCGCTCGTGTCTGATAAATATTTAGAAAGTATGACACCTGTGGATCATTATGTTTTTAATTTAAAATCTCAATAGTGATCTAAAATCCATCCATCCATTTTCTTCCGCTTATCCGGGGTCGGGTCGCAGGGACAGCAGTCTAAGCAGGGACTCCCAGACTTCATTCACCACAGACACTTCCTCCAGCTGAGAGCCACAGTTCCTCCAGCTTGTCCTGGGTTTCCCTGTGGTCTCCTTCCGGTGGGACATGCCCGGAAAACATCCCGAGGGAAGCATCCAGGAGGCATCCGGAACAGATGCCCGACCCACCTCAACTGCTGCTCTCAACGTGGAAGAGCAGCAGCTCTACTCTGAGCTCCTCCCATGTGACTGAACTCCTCACCCTATCTCTAAGGGTCATTTTGGCCACTTGTATTTGCGATCTTGTTCTTTCGGTCATTACCCAGAGCTCATGACCCCAGGTGAGAGGAGGAACATAGACTAACTGGTAAATTGAGAGCTTCGCCTTTCGGTTCAGCTCCCTCTTCACTACAACGGTCCGATACAGCGACTGCATCACTGCAGAAGCTGCACCGATCCGCCTGTCAATCTCACGCTCCATCCTCCCCTCACTCACGAACATGACCCCAAGATACTTAAACTCCTCCACATGAATGAAGTAATATTGGTGATGGCAAAGTACAAGCAAACATAAATACTAATCACATCACATTTTAACACACTACAGCACAACTAATGTAAAGTATTCTATATTTGAAGTGTTTTAGTTCATTTGGTTCAATCATCATAATTTTTATTCAGTGAAAATAAGAATTGTGCTAAGGAGAAAATTTTTTATTACATACTCTTAATATAGACTGCTAGAAGAATTACACTAACAGATTTCCTTTTTTTGATGATGATTTGGTTATTTATTTTTCATAATTTATTTTCTTTTCCTCCTGAGTTTGCCTCTCCTCTCACTGCGTTCATATACCTGTGTTCATGCTCTTCTCGTGTCCAAATGCTCTTACAGACTCACAGCATCTTTTTTCTGAATACTGAAACTATGTTACATTACAGAGAAATGTCTCAGCGGATGCTTTTCTGAGTAAAACACATAAGAGACTAAAAGTATGTGAATATCGCAAGTTACGTTTCAGCTTCATATTTTTGTCATTCCTGGGTCTATCTAAGTGACTGAAAGATCAAACCCACCTCTGTTAAAATATTTCAGCTGAAAGCCTCTTTGGAGCCTTTACTCAAACAACGTCATAGTTAAGAGTTTTAGAGTCCTGTTCCCAAAAAAGTAAACAGTTTGGTCACTACCCACTGTTATATTCCTCCATGCATAACGTCTTAGGTACAAACAGTGTGTTCAGGCGAGTTATTTTTCTATTCATGGGTTTTTGTGCCCTGTATTATGCAATTCTTTGAGGTCTTTTTCCAATTCAAAAGAGGTAATATTTTGTTTTTATGGCAATGGTCCAATATTTTCATCATTCTGTGGATACACAGATGCAATACATATCATATTAAATACACACTGACAGAGAATCTTATAAATAAAAATGTATAATCATTAGAACATTACAACTGTAATAAATAAGCCATTAACTGGAAGCAAATATTTGAGTCCATTGAGCAGACATGCGAGCTTCTTTTATGAGCGCGGTCGTGTGATGCGAAAATGACAACACATTTGTTTAGTTTGGCTGTTCCATTCAATTCTATCGAGGTTTGAAATTTGTAACTACTATCTATCTACATAGTTGTCTCAGTATTTTGTACATTTCACTTATTAGATATTTTAGAGATATTTTCAAAATTGCACTAAATTAAGATCTTAATCTTTAAATGAATTTGAAAATGTTTTCAAATCATTTTTCCTCATCTTTTTCATCGGGCATGTTTGCTTCCCTCGATTACTTTATCACACTATGCAAATCAATATGATGTGGGTTCAAACATAAAACTTAGCTAATCTTTATGATTTTTGGGACATTTTCAAGGAACCCAAATTGGTTTTGTTTTTATTGCTTTGTTTACAAATAGGCTGTTTTTACAGAGGGACAGAGCACTTCAGATTTTAATTAATTAAATTAAAATTAAATGCATTAAAATTAAATTTATTAAATTTTATAAAAAAAACATTCAGAATTGTGGTCAAAATTTTCCATTTTTGGTGACTTTCTTTGTTTTCATCTGGTTTTCCAGGCACAAATTAATAACATTGGAGGTCATGGGGGAGGGGATAAAAGTAAGCAAACTTTTGAAAAGCCTGTTTTTTCTAAAATGCATTGCTTTACTGCAGAGAAATGAAAAAATATGTCAAAATTATTTCATTTTGAGAGGGAGAGTCAAAAAATGAGTTTATAATGAAAGTCAAAGGATACACAAATTTCTGAAACATCCTGACACGCATGCAGAATTTTCATGGCAATTGCACAACCACAGTCAAAGTTATCACGATAAATCTACCTTCAGATATTCAGATATTTCTATATAAGGCCTCTGATTTAAATACCTGCAGAAACACTATTTGAAATATTTTTTTCACTTTAACACTTTAGACTTGAAGACTTACTCACTACCAACACATCCAAGCCATTTTAGTGAAAAAAAATATTCTCCTGGTTTCTAGGCACCAATTGCTTAAAGGTGACTATTTTTCATATAGGTTCACGATAGAAGCAAATGGGGAAGGAGCTAAAAGTAAGTACATTTTGAAAAAACAACAACATCATTTTAACTAAATTCATTGGTTTTGCTCCAGAAAAAATAAAACTTGCACCAAAAAATGTTCTTACCTTGCTTTTGAGAGGGGGGTCAAAAAATTTGTTTATAATGGTCAAAGTCAGGATGGATACACAAATTTCTGAAACACGTTGAGTGTCTATAAAACGTCTCGCATCGCCAAAATTGGTCAGATTGGGATGAAACTCGCATATGTGTAAAATGCTGTTAAACACATCTGTGTGAATTTTCATGGCAATTGAACAACCACAGCCAAAGTTGTTATGATAAATGTGCCTTTAGATGCACAAATTTCCCTTAACAAGGCACAAGTGTTCTTTCTACTGTTTTATGTTTTGTGACATTTGACAAATTTATTAAGTTTCAGAAAATGTGTCAAAGTAATTGAAAACAATGGTATATAGATGTAAAATTATAACTCTATGATTATACTACTCAAAAGATAATTAGAAATTTAGAATTTTCTTTTGTTTATGTCTAGAAGCGTTGAGATATTTTCAGGACAGGACTCAATCACAGCTTCTTTTCGATCGCTACATCAGTTGTACAGACGTTATATAATTGACTATGTACACAGTGAGAGTAAATATGGTGACCCTCCTCACTGTTAAGTCTAATAAAGAATATTTATGTATGTGAATTATATTGAAAATCCCTTCATTTATTTACAGTTATGTAGTTTCACAAAGTTTCATTCATTTTCTATGTCTTTTATCTCATCATAATATTTAATGTTCATTTCACAGCACGTGGGTCAAAGGTGGATTTCATGTAAACAGGGAGGCAGGGGCAAACATAGGCGGGCCGGTCGGATACAGATTTCCTCTCGTCTGATTGGCTAACAACTTGCTTTAAAAATCAAGCTCTAGACTTCTTTAGTAAATAATATCTTCCACCTCAGCGCAACAACACTAACAACCACTACTCCAGCTGGTTTCGTCATGAGCGGATGTCCCTACTTTGAGAAGAGGCATTTGTACGTTCACATGCATGGATATATATATATATATGTGTAAAAAAAGGGGGGATTTTTTTTTTTTTTTTATTAGCTGAAGTCACTTACCTTTTGAGCTCTTTTTGATCTCCAGGTTGTTCAAAAACAGACCTCCCAAAAGTGAAGAAGAGGATGATGAGGCGCAGGCAGGAGACAACAAGGCCAGCAAGGGAGGGATCATCTATGGAGAATATCTGCAGGTATAAAATATTTATGATACAAAATATATACAAACAATGTACACTTACTACATTTTTACAAATATACTTACAAAAAACATACGACGTATTTACAAAAGAACTTTAAAAAATGCATAGTTCATAAATATATTTTAGACTAGAATTGGGCTACAAAACACCTTTTTTTGAGTAAATTATCAATAATATCAGCAGTTTACTGACCAGTATTAACTGGCCAAACCCTGAAATGATACTCAGTCCAGTACTTTTTGCTGACACCCACTACCCGCTACCAGTATTGTGATTCATTTTACAGTACAGTTATTTCTATACCACCACATCCAAGACATTTATCTACTATTTATCCATCTATTATCTATCTATCCATTTATCTATTTACTCTGACTACCTTTAGCAATCAAGATAATTTCTCCCCCCTACTTCAGACAAGGCCAGATTTAAGCCCTTTTAAACTCACAGTAAAATATTGTTCTTTCTTGCAGCTGGACAAAGTTCTGAGTGCACAGGTCCTCCAGAGTGAACTGAAGGCAAACAAAATCCACGACGAGCACCTCTTCATCGTTACTCACCAAGGTAATTTGATTTGTACGGAAATTCTGAAGATGGAATACAATTTTAAAAATAAAATAAAATGGTATTCAAAATAACAAAGTAGAAAGTAATATTAAAGTCTAAACTGAAAAAGTCCAAACCCATTATTGTAAAATGTAATCGGGTCAACTTAGGTCAACTAGAGTACACTATGTGGATAATTATTAGGCAAGTCGTATTTTTGAGGATTCATTTTATAATTGAACAACTATAGTGTATTTAAGAAAGTAAAAGTTAGGACTGTTGTAGTAGCAAAATTCATTTTATTATGTCCTTAAACATATTTACTGTTATAATTATCTGGCCCCAGAAGCTGGCCCCTTCTCTTGCAGAAGAATGAACCCAACAAAGTTAATTGTTTGACTCAAGTTCTCTATTTCGTTCTCACACAAATATTTCCACAACACCGTTGCGCATTAAGAATTTACTTGACATGCCTCTGTACCGTAGTGTGTGGTGTGTGCGGTACAGCACACAGGCCCAGAGTAATACACGTACAATGGGGATGTATTTGAAAAATATTTACATAAAACCAGAGCCAGGCCTAAGTGACAGACACGCTCATGTGCTCATGTAGTGTAATATAGTTTTACAGATGAGTGAGTTAGTTATTATAACCCCCACAGAAGCACCTGCAGGGGGCGCCTGTACGCACTGTGTGTACCTTGAATGTCCCCATTAAATCTAAATGAATCTCCCAAGTTAGGCATGGAGGAGCACCACAGTGATTATTGACCAAACTATTCACTACAAACCCGCGGTTAAGCGGCTTAACCATTAACTTTTGTATGCGAATGTGTTACTTACACAAAGAGGATAACTTTAGTCCTTATGCAATTATCACTAAATGAAAACAGTGAGAGATGATGAAGAGGCGCACGGTGTCCTGTGCGCATGGAGCAGACACGTTCTGAATAGTTTTATAGCTATGAATTGAAACTACACAAACAACGCTCCAGTGTGAATGACACAGGTCACGAATCGTACAGACTAACACAACACAAAAACAAAGCTCCTCACATGGTGAGACAGTGAAGACAATACAGTAAAGTGTATTTACCTTGTTGACATGTTTCTGCTGCTATCTGCAAGTCATTTTCAGAACTGTCCCCGGTGTTGCTGGTGACGTGTCGTATATCAGATGTTGTTCCTTCCTGTCAGCGTGGTCAGCCTGATTGACCTGGCAGGTTAGTCAGACTGACCTGCCAGCCTGACCTGATTGGGACGGGGCACAGGTCATTGGATCGGAAAACAAGTTCAAACTCAGGGAGGCCAAGTTCAAAATCAGGGAGGCCATTGCATTCAGGAAACGAGGCATGGGCAGTATGATGACAGAGCGTTCCTCCTTTCACACACCTGGGACACCCTCCTCCAGAGAACACCGGGCGATGGGAGGCGTGGTCAGTCTGAGCGACCTGCAGGTCAATAGGGTTGACCACAACTGACTCCAGGAAGTAACAACAGCTAATATACGACACCAGCACCGGTGACAGTTCTGAAAATGCAGCAGCAGCTGAAGCATGTGAACAAGGTAAATACACTTTACAGTATTGTCTTTAAAAAGAACCCAAAACGTTAATGTATCATTTTGATGCCTAACTTAGTGTACTGATAAATGGACAATGGTTTATGTTTTATAAGTGTCTAACTAAGGTTCGCCATAGCTTTTATATTTACTCAGTTTCTTTGCGACTGCTGAAATTGGTAGCTCGCTGGCATTTTCATTTTGTAAAGGTAGCTCACTGGAGAAAAAAGGTTGGAGACCCCTGTTTTAACGTATATGCAGGTTTGGGTCAGGTTTCAGTATTTTAACCCATTTGCTCAGAGTTACATAAACATGAAATAGTTCAAGGTAGAATAGTAAAATTCTGCTGGGCATGTGCATGGAGCCTCATTAAAATGCAAACTGTAGTTACCACGGTCACCTAATCCCTCTGGCGGTGTGATTGATCATACCGGGGTATTGCAAAATTGTGGTTAAAGCAACAGCCCTAGGAAAATTGAAGTTTTGAATTTCTTAGGAGAAAATCTATGTGTGCACAATTATCACGCAACTAAATGACAATTGTAAACAACTCAAAATTTATAAATAAACTTTTCTGACATAAAAAATATAAATAAATAAAAAATCAGTGACCCAGTGACCAATACAGCCACCCTTCTTCTCAATACTGGTCATAAGCTTTCCATTCAAGGAGTCTGTCTGTTTCTTCTCAACTTTTTGTGCAGCAGCAACCACAGCCTCCAAGACACTGTTCAGAGAGGTGGACTGTTTTTCTTCACTGAAAATCTCCAGTTTAAAAAGGGCCCACAAGTTCTCTACAAGGTTTAGGTCAGGTGAGGAAGACCATTACTGGTTAGCCACACAGTGAAGTATTTTGATACATGCAATGGAGCACTGTCCTGCATAAAAAACATGGTCTTTTTGAAAGTGCTGGAGGATAATGGGTTCCTGGTAGCTTCATGTTTGATTCTTCTCAAATCTGTTGCAATTAATTTGCATCTTTTATTCTCAACAAGTTTCTCAACAGCAACACTGTTGACTGTTCTGTGATTACGCCCCAATATCTTGGCAATTTCATTGAGTGCAGCATCCCCCTGAAAGACTTTTCACAATTTGACTTCTCAGAGTCTGTTAAAATCAGTTTGGCCCATTTTGCCTGAGAACCTGCCTAATAATTCTGCAAACCTTGATATAGAACTGATCTCCTTAGACCACACCCCCCTTCGTTATACAAATACACATCATTGGATATGCTTAAATCCAATAATAATTCAAGTTTATACAGCTTGGAGTTGGAGAATCTGCACAAAAATCCTGGCATGGTCAAAATACCAACTTGCCTAATAATTGTGCACACAGTGTAGAAGAACACAGGGTTGAACCAAGGACATCCAGGCTGCTACAGTGATAGAACTCTCATAATCAATTTAGTTTTGTCAGGATACAAAAATTTTATTCTTGATTTTGATCCTAAGGAATAGACTCGATATTCAATACTCATTCCATCAATACGATGATATTAAAGGGACAGTCGGGAATTTTGGACATAGAGTCTCATTTCCTAGTGAGCCAGAGTGTTGGAGACGTGTGGAGACACTTTTTTAAATATTCCATCCAGTCCTTGTATTTGCAGAGGTCGCTGGTGCTAGGCTAGTGCATGTCAATGGCCAAAGTTATCCTGCCACTAAAAACAGTCTTACCCACTCCACAAAACACCCGAAGCAAATGTATTATTACACCAGACCGTTGATGTGAATGTCTGTGTTGATAAAATAATTTTAGAAGTAAAACCAACCTTGCATTTGAAGGATTTATGTCTGAGCAGCAGCAGCGAGTTGTACTTCCTGATAGAAAGCTTGGCAGCGGCGGACTGATATCACCTACGACCTATCTTACCGGCAAAGTAAAATTCCACTGCTGCTGAGAAAATAGTCCCTCAACATGCAGCGATTCATGCGATGCAAGGTTAATTTTATTTCAAACATTATTCTTTCAACAGTCTGGTGTAATAATAGATTTGCTTCGAGTGTTTTGTGGAGTGGGTAAGATCGTTTTTAGTGGCAGGATAACTAAAACCACTGACATGCTCTAGTCTAGCACCAGCGACCTCTGCAAATACAAGGACAGGATGGAATGTTTAAAAAAGTGTCTCCACACATCCCCAACACTCTGGAGAACTAGGTAATGAGGTCCTATGTCCAAAAATTTCTTCTGTCTCTTTAATCATAATAAAATACACTCATTCTTCAGACATTAGAATGTCATTTTCAACATTAAATCATAGTACTGTCTTTTATATTACCATGTGGCCTTATATCTGTGTAATACCTCCCCTACGTAGGTTAGATTATTGTCTGACTTTGATACTTTTGATAGCTCTAAATCAAATACACATAGCACCTTTACAGTGAATCTGGGACACTGGCTTATTGAGTGTAACTGCGCACAGACCTAACTTGTCCACATCTTAAGTAGAAAAAGTAAACTTGGAATGATTCTTAACTAAAGTGTGTGGAGTCAAATGGAAATGAAACGTCCCTGTATAATTATCCTGGAGCCTCTCAGTGCCGTGGGCTTAATGAGAGCTGCAATCTGATCCTGTCTTTGCTCTTGCAGCCTATGAACTGTGGTTTAAACAGATCCTCTACGAGCTGGACTCAGTGAGGGACATCTTCATCAGTGGACATGTAAGTCATCACTCCTGGACTATTCTTTTAAAGTGGGGGTATTAGGAAAAATCTACTTTTCTGAGTTTTCTGCCATGTTATAACATTGTTCCATCATCAAAAACATTGCCCAAAGAAGCCTTAGTATTTTATATTTTAGCAATCTCCCCCAGGTCCGATATGAACCCTCCTTATGGTTAACTGTGAGATTTTGTGCAACGCTCAACCCACAAGCCAACGTCATCCCTGCTCCCACTTGAAGAATCTGACACAATGTGCAGGAGTTTATATCAGTGGGATACACTCTGATTGTGTTGCGATACCATTCTGAAGGGAGAGTGACTTAGCGTGGGGAGCAAAAGGAGAGAAGACTCAAAAACGAAAACTGAAAACTTCTGAAACACGTTAAGACATTTTTGGCACATATAATCTAAGATAAAATTAACAAGGTGAGCTTAATATGTTATGAATATGCAAAAAAAAGTTGTTGCATCCTTAATGTCTATTATTGCTCATATTGTAAACGTTGAGTTTTATTCATCAGATTAACATAAAAGCTTTACATTAGATCATTGCACATTTTACTCACATTTATTACACTGTGACCTTTGGACAATTACTTTAACAATGGGGGGTTAATGCCTGCCTTGTTATTGTGAGTCCAATCTAATCACAGTTCCTGTCTGAAAATGACAAGATCTACTTTAGATATATGAGTGATACACAGTCGAATAGTGTGGCTGTGTATTAGCATGGGCGCAGGATATATATATTTTTTTAAATTATATTGTCTGTTCAGGTCCGCGATGAGCGTAACATGCTAAAAGTGAACACTCGGATTCACCGCATCGTGATGATCCTCAGACTGCTGGTGGACCAGTTTGCAGTACTCGAGACTATGACGGCTCTGGACTTCTTTGACTTCAGGTGCCTGCATTTCACTAAAACATAATTAATGTCATTATATTTAAGAGGTTACTAATATTGATTAGTTTTTCTAGTGTTTTTTTTTTTTTTTTTTGGTTGGTTAAAGAAGTATTTTTTCCATGACACTGCAGCGGTCATGACACAGTGCAGGCCAAGTACTTAAAGTGGATTTACTTGCAGATTCCATGTTACACCAAGTACAACTACTGTAGTGAAGTGTATTTGATCAAAGCAATGCAGTTTCACGTGTGTTCACATGATAACACATGTCTAATGACCCGAAAAACCACACTGGACCTCTTGCTTTGTCTGGTCTGATCTCAGAGAGTTTTAAAAAGCACTTTTAAAGTCATCATGGGGACTAATTATGATACTTGGAATGCATAAAGTAAGTGAGGAATAACTTTGGACCACTACAAACCATTAAAAAAAAGTTTTCACATTTTTAAAGACAGTAAAAACCAAGTACAGCACCTTTAATGCTGGTAGTTGTAAACTTGTGAACTTTTTGATGTATGAGATGTACCTGGCTGTCCTGCGTAGATTTGTTCCTTCCTCCTCCTCTTCCTCAGTATGGGCTGCGTCTCAGCTTCTCACCGCTAGCTCTGTGCTCTGAACAGGGAATACTTGTCTCCTGCCTCGGGCTTCCAGAGTCTGCAGTTCCGTGTGCTGGAGAACCGAATCGGCGTTCCGGATAACCTGAGGGTGCCATACAACAGACGCCATTACAGAGACAACTTTAAAGGGCACGACAGTGAGCTGCTGCAGGCGACCGAGCGGGAGCCCTCTCTGCTCAAACTGGTGGAGGTGAGGCAGGAACAAGCATCTCGCACAATACATGAAGTACCCCGCTGACAATAGGACTTACATTTAAAGAGCAGCTAAAGGTGCACTGTGTCACTTTTGTATTGTGGGCACGTATATTGTATTACTATTACATATGCTTGACTCCAGGGAGATGTAGTTATTTCACCTGGAATGTTCCACAATATGTCATTAAACCTAAATTTATCTAGTATTTATACAGTATCTAGTAAAAATATGCTCAGTGGTGTTACCAGTCCACCTGAGCGCTATATAATGCAACTTTAAGTTTTTTTTGTTTTTTAACTCCCCACTTTTGCCTACTGAGTCAGTTTATGTCACAACCATTTTTTAATCCAGTATTTTAATTTCTCTGAGCCCCCTAGTGGCTGCTTAGAGCCTATGCACAGCCTTCTTATGATTACTAAACTCATAATGCTGTTACATGGTGATAGCGCTGGATGGCAGGTTCCGCATTGCAAACTGCGGCCTATATCACTGCAACCCTACAAAGACATTTCAAAACATTTTCTTCAAAAGTAAAGGCCAAATGTCTGTGCTAACCGTTGCTCTTGTCAGGAATGGCTGGAGAGGACGCCGGGCTTGGAGGTGGAAGGATTCAACTTTTGGGAGAGACTGGAAATCAATATCTTTGAAGGTTTGAAGGGCGAGAAGGAAAAGATCGAGGTGAGAAATAATAGCAGTTTTTAGCACAAAAAGTTTCTGAGGTTTAGACAGGACTGGAAGGAAAGAACTGATTTTGTGTTGTGTCCGGAGCAGAAAATGGCAGATGGCGAGGAGAAGGTGGAGATGATGGAGGAACTGGTCAAACAAAAGGAGCTTTTCACTTTGCTGTTTGATGAGAAGCGCCACGATCACTTAGTCAGCAAAGGTACGACAATGCAGCAGATAACTTGTTAAAGGTGAACTATGTAATATTTCTTATTGAGGGGCCGTAACATCCTTGTTTATGTATAATTTAATTATTGTCATGTTACGCAAAAATGACTTCTTGGAGCTTTCTACCATGTCATAATGTTGTTCATACATTCATGTCTGAAAGGGGAGTGATTAGGCTACGTTCAGACTGCAGCCTGACGTGTCCCAAATCTGATTTTTTCGCCCCTACGCGACCTGTATTTGATCTTTTAATGACAGTCTGAACAACACAGATCTGATTTTTTCAAATGTGACCCAGGACACTTGGATATGTGCTCCTAAAACCAATTCATATCCAATCTTTTGACATGCGACGTCAGTCTAAATTTCCAGGTCACATTCATCCCACCTGCACGTCAGGCTCGGAGTCTAGTCAATGGAGGGAAAGCGAGGCTAGTGAGTTAATTAATATTTGGGGGGATCACTGTATTCAGGCCAAATTGGAGGGGTCTTATCAGAATCCGTCAGTTTCTGAAATCATTGCCAAAGAAATGGCCGGTTCTGGCTCCAATGTCAGTGAAAAATAAAGAGACTGTGAGCCGAATACAAGGAGGCTAAAGACTCCAACAAACAAAGCAGCCGTGGATGTGTAACCTGTCCATTTTACGAAGAACTGGACTGTATTTTGAGAGACAAGCCCAGCGTTTAGGCGACTTCTGTAAAGACTGAGCACGCTCGCTGTGTGTGAAGTTGTCGTGTCCTCCAATGTGCATGCAGGACACTTTAGATGTGTTTAAAGTTCACACTGGAGATCATACACAAGTTGCATTTAATTGGAAATATGAATGACCTTGCAAAAAAATTGGATTTCAAAAAAATTAAATTAAGCTTTAAGCCCTGCAGTCTGAATGTAGCCTTAGAGTGAGGAGCATGATGGGGAACTCAGACCCAAATTTGCCCTATAATTGCTAGCCTCTGTGAGCTTCATTCGACTGGAGCCGAACAATGTGGGTGACGTCAAACTCCCTTAGTCCACTTCTTCATACAGTCTATGCTCTTCACAGATCTGTAACTTGGTCTGGTGGCATCATCTGCTTGTCTCCATTGCGATAGACACAATTAGCGCTACTGATACTGTGAAACATTCCAGATAAAGTGTAAATTATTTCTCACTCCACTCTTCCTCTTCCTCTTCCTTGTGAAAGCATGCCTTCGTGACTTCATTAATCCTTCTAAATGTAATTCCCTCCTGTTGTGTATTGCTTTGTAACAAGGTGAGAGGCGGCTGTCCTACAAGGCTCTCCAAGGCGCGTTGATGATCTACTTCTACAGGTACGCAGCTTTCTTCACCTTTAATTGTCTTTGCTGGGTAAAATTGCAGGGGAATTATGTTTCATTAAGATCATTATGCATGCTCTTGCCTCCATTCTACCTGTCAGCGTGAACAGATTGTGAAAAGTGTGCACGATTCAGAACCAAGGTACTTTTATGAGTTTGGGACCTGTGTGGTTAGAGGGGATCAGAGGAGCACATGTGACGTTCATGGCCAAATGAGATTGCCTCAACATGTTTTTAAAGGAGACATGTTATGAAAAATTTACTTATGAGACTGTAATAGTGTTTTGCTTCATTATTAGCTTAGTAGTGTCTGTGTCCATTTTTGCACACACACTACATGAAAATTTGGACTAAAGCTACTAGTGGAAGTAAACAAGGACCAGAGGTGGGAAGAGTTTTCAAACAATGTCCTCAACATTGTAACATTACTGTATTTTTCAGACTATAAGGCGCACTGGATTATTAGGAGCAATATCAATAATGTTGAATACTCTTGTTTATTTTCACACATAAGGCGCACCAGACTAGGTGCATTAAGCGAAACAAATGGACGACACTTGAGACTGATCCCTTAGTCCAGGCATCCCCGATCCACATGGCTAATTTGCATAAACTATAAGTGCTGAAAAGACAGCACACGGCTTGTGCGCTGATGCGGTCACCTCCTGTTGGACTCCATGAGGCTCCTGACTACAGTAGCTGTAATGCTCCGACAATCCATTCAAGCGGTGTGACATTTTGACAGATTTTTGAGCACCGTGTACCACATAAAATCGGTTTGAGGTCAATAAACACAACCAGAATTAATACATAAGGTGCACCGGATTAAAAGGTGCATTCTTGATTTTTGAGAAAATTTAAGAATTTAAAGTACGCCTTACAGTCTGTAAAATATTTTTTTACTCAAGAAGAAGTACAATGTAATGGTCCACATAATTACTCAACAAGTAAGAGTGAAGAAATATTGTTAAAAGTACTTCTCAAGTAAGAGTAACTTAAAGAATAACTGTTCAGACATTGGACAATACAATTAAATGCATCACTGTGTGCTGCATGCATCCTATAATAAAATGCTTTATCGGTAGCAAACCACACTGTAAATAACAATATCTTCAGTAAGTTAAAATGGCTTAAATTTTACTTTATTTGAGCAGATTTAACTTGGATTTTGTTTCTAATTTTAAGTGCACAGACTTGTTGTTTTTCTTATAGTATAACAAGACGTATTTTCATATTTTAAGTACAAAAAGTCATGTTCCACTGGCAGATTATTTTACTTGTCAAGTGAAATTTACTGAAATCATAATAAAATGTTCTTAAATCAAGTGATCTTAACTTGGCTAGATTTTAGTTTTTGAGGTGTAGGAACTAGCACTGGTGGCTAGAACTTGAGCAATATGTTTGGACCACTATAAACTTTAAAATGAACTAGTTTTGTTTTTCATGTTTTTGAGGCAGTAAAAATCAAGTTCAGCAATCTTGAGTTTTAGTTTTTCAGAAATAAACATTCAGGGTTAGGGGGCAGGTGAGAAACATGAGAAATGCTGCGGTTTTGAACCCAGAAGTCAATGGACCTATGTATTTAGATCAATGTTTTCTTTTACTATGAATGAAATGTAAAAATATATATATACAGCAGCTCCTATTATAGAACCAAAAATCCGATGGCTCCTGTACGTGCATGCAGAAGAAAGCGATAATGATCTGACACCGCGGATGCTACCGTGAGGTGCGATGCTTGGCTGGAAGCATCTGAACTTTGTGTTTTTGTGGTACCTGCAGAGAGGAGCCGCGCTTCCAGGTCCCATTCCAGCTGCTCACCTTCCTCATGGACATTGACACGCTCATGACCAAGTGGAGATGTGAGTGCAACTTGAGTGCCATTTCTGTCACAAAAATCAAAAAAAAAAGTTTGTAAAAGTGAATGGTAATTGATAATAAACTATAAATAAATGCATTTAGAGTATATATAATAAGAAGAGATCAAGAAACATCGGCCTTTAGTCGCAAATATTTTAGGAAGACAGTAGCATTTTACTTCACTATTGTAAGAGCATGGTAGTAAGACGGATATAATTAAAAAGTTATTTTGGTAATTACTCGTGGAAAAAAAAGACATGACATACTTTATTTCAATCCTCTTAATGTTTTTATAAATTTTTACAAGGTCATCAGACTCAAATTTTTAGGTGCTCAAGCTGCCATTAATACTCAGCCAATCAACTAAAAACTAGCACCTCCAAATCTGATTATTAAGAGATTTTTTTTTTTTTTTTTGAGTTTTAACAGCAAAATCGTTTCATTTCTTTCTGATTATGATCCCTTCCTATTGTCCCTCATTTAAATCTTCTTAAAAAGTCCAGAAATCAGATAATAACCAATATCAGCACTTCTTTCTTTCTTCATTGCGGTGTGACGAAATGACTCAGATGTGAAATGATCTGCTGGTGGGATTTACTCCGTGCCTTTTCACACAGATAACCACGTGTGCATGGTCCATCGGATGATCGGCAGTAAGGCTGGAACAGGCGGATCCTCGGGTTATCACTACCTCAGATCCACTGTCAGGTATTACTATTTTATAACAATACTAAAGTAGCATTTTTTTATCTATTTGTTATGATTGGGTTCTATTTGCTTGCACTTTGTGTCCAAGTTCTTTTCAGGTATAGACTAATATTGGTCTGGTTTATAATTGCACTTTTTTAAGCTGTACTTTAACACTTTACTCCAGAATTAGCTTCAGCTCAATAGACTTAGACTTTAGACTAGACTTAGACAAATTGTAATATCTAATGAGAAACATGGCTGTAGTGCACTGTATGTAAATAACAGTCTTTTCACAGTAAAATCAGCCATACATATTGACAAAATATTGTATAATTAAATATTCAGTGAGTATTCAAAACTAATATGGGAAAAAACATAGTGGCTATTGAATTAAAATGTTGAGGAAAAAAATAATGATATAATTTTATGTAGATCCAAAGCAAAAATAAAATATTGAAATGAAAAAAAAATTGACAAAAGCTACCATTTGTAAATAAAATGGTTGACCCAGCCTACTGTATTCTCACATATCAAAACTAGATGGTATCTATGTTACTACTGTCTTATAATGTGGCAGCTTTGGCCTCACATAAGAGCAGAGAGCACAGGTGAGTCTGAACAAAGGCCATGCAAGGGGGGGGGAGCAGGTTTCACGTCTGGTAAAAACATAAATACCGTATTTTTTTGACTAAAAGGCGCACTTAAAATCCTTTAATTTACTCAAAAATCGACAATGCTTACTGATTGTGCTGACTGACCTTGAACTGATTCTATGTGGTGCACAGCGCTCAAGAATCTGTTAAAATGTTTTAGTACGACTTTGATAAGCTACGAAGCCACACCACTATATACGGTCTATGTGTATGACCTGCAGACACATAATCTCTCAAAAGTTTAACATGAACCATCTCCAGCGTGATAGAAGCACAGAACAGACTCGCCATCAGTCTCATCAGTCACAGAAAGAACACACATATTCCACTGAGTTTGAGCTGAACCACATCAGTGCACAAGGAGCAAGCTGTTTTTTTCAGTGCTTATAGTTTATGCAAATGAGCCATGCGGTTTTAAGTTTTGTTTCTGTAAAACGTAAACAAATGTGCGCAAAGCTGCATTGAACACATTATTACTCAATATATATTTGAGTCCTCCTTGTAGGAAATAAAAAAAAACAAAATTATCCACCCACATTCACATTCATAATACACATTCACCAAGACAGGGAAGCAACACTGGGTGAATTACGCCAATGGCTATGGCTATGCCAATGGATCATGGATGCCTGGGCTAAGGTATCAGTCTCAAATGTTAAGTTATTAGGTTCTTTTTTTCAGACCTAGAGTGTTATTTCATACCTGACACTTTCGACTGCTCACTAGCATCTTCCTCAGAGTGGTCACGTGATGATTTGAGTTGTTCCTGTTCTGCTTTGTGTTTTGTTGCTCGTGAAACACAAAGCAGAACAGGAACAACTCAAATCGGCCATTTCTGACCATTGTAAAAGAGAGAACCACGTTATGGATTGGGATGGAGCAAACATCATTGGGACAGAGGAAAACAAACTTCGCCACTGGATTAAAGAAGCAATCGAAATACGGAAACGTGCCCACAGGACTGTAAACCGGGACGAGGGGGCTTTTTTACTCTCACACACCTGGGATACTGTCCTGAGGAAGTCGGACTGCAGATGGAGCTGTCATCCTGCCTCCACCGGTAGGAAGGCAGCGCCAAAACCTGTTTAAATCAGCTGACCAGACACGTCACAGCAACATCACGTGACCACTCTGAGGAAGACGCTAGTGAGCAGTCGAAACTGTCAGGTATGAAATAACACTCTAGGTCTGAAAAAAAGAACCTAATAACATAGAATATCGGAAGACCAAATTAATCTCATTGGACCAGTCTCAAGTGCTGTCTGTTTGTTTCACTTAAAGCGCCTTATAATCCAGTGCTCCTTATGTATGAAAACAGAAGAGTGAATTCAACCATATTGATATTGCTCCTTATAATCCTTGTGTACCTTATAGTCCTAAAAATATGGTAAATTGGTAGTTTTAAGGTCAACTTTTTATTTCCTTTTTTTGGGCATGTATGAACCAGTAGAAAAACTAACCCTTGGCTCTCCCTCCCGGCAGTGACCGCTACAAAGTGTTTGTGGACCTGTTTAACCTGGCCACGTTCCTGGTGCCGCGTCACTGGGTTCCAAAGCTCAACCCAAACATCCACACATTCCTGTACACCGCCGAGTGCTGCGACAGCTCCTACTGCAGCAGTGAGGACTCCGACTGACTAGACTGCACCACCATCAGACACCAGATAATCAGCGTTACCATCTAACAAGACAACCAGGCCTACCAGACAACCAGACCCGCCATAAAACCAGACCCGCCATATAACTAGGGTTGCTATACATACAACCAGGCCCACTATACATACAACCAAGCCCACGACACATACAACCAGGCCTACTACACATACAACCAGGCCCACCATGGATGACAAATACATTTTGCAAAGGTGAAAGTGAATTTGTGAATTTTACTGTAATGTGGGCCTTGCCATAGATTCCAAATGTTGATATTGGCATTAGCAGATATCGTTCATCAGCCACAACAGCAATACAATAATTGAATATCGACACAAATCATTGAAACTTTCAGATTTTTTTTTACCATTCACAACATTTCCGCCCATGACAAAATATTCATTACATTTCCACTACGGTGCCATTTCTATTGTGGGATGCTGGCGCTGACTGTTTTTGGGGCATTGTTAGTCTGACATGTAAACACCAAAAATGACATAGAATTTTAGCAAGCTCGAGCCAAAATATATTTTTCATTTCAAAGTGACACTAAAAGCATGCCACAAATCCTGTAATTATTCCAGCATAGAGAAGAAAAGGATACGACTGGTTAATCTGAATTTGTGCTTTAGAGCCAAGAAATACAAATGTGACAGTTTTTTTGTAATTTAAAACAATAAGATTTTAAGTGTTTACTTGACTGAACCTTATTTTTATAATGCGGCATGGATTTTTCTCAGATATAAACTGTAACTGTGTATATATTGTTAATAGTCTAGTTGCCATTTTGTATAGTATTCTTATTAAGGATTTAAATTAACTTTGATATATATTTATAAAATTATGAATCTGTGTATAGTTAACATAACCATCTTGTATCAACTATTATGTATTTGTGTTGATGTTGTATTTACATGTACACATTATATATATGTACATTATATAGTACTATAGAGGATGGACTGCTATATTATTATGTTTGTTTCATTGTTGCTGCTGAAAACTGAATTTCCTTGAGGATCAATAAAGTATCTATCTAAGTAACTAAGTTTAAAGGGCCCATATTACACTATATTCTAATCTATGTTATAATGTTGACATGGAGTTGTGTTTTGTTTCATTCGCACATGTTTAACACACAAATCCTCCTGCGTTTTCTTATTTTCTTACTTTTCCCACCTTATGATGTCATGTCACACACTTGCCGCTGTAACCATTAGTATCGGGAGTTTCATTTGATTGGAGCCGAACACTATGGGTGACGTCACACTCGCTTAGTCCACTTTTTTATACAGTTTATGATTCAAGAGTCAGTTTATATAGGACCTTTAAATACATTGGTATCTGCTGAAAAGGCAAATCCAAAAAGAAAGATGCTCTATAGGCCCTTCTGCCCTCCATTTGAATTTTCATTGCCATTTTGCTCCCAGCTGAAAAGGGCTGATTTTGCTGCTACATTCTGCCAGGAGCCACAGCTGGAGCCACCAGCGCAGGGTCAAACAGGGACAGGTGGAAATTCACTGTGGATTGTGAATCAAAATGATTTGCAGTATTTGGGGCAACAGTGGTGCACAGGGTAAGCGGTCGCCTTCTAACCTGAAGGTAATTAGTCTGATTCATCAGGCAGTTTCACTTCATAGAAACTGCCTGACGTCGCAGTGTTAGGATTTGTTCACTCGACGGTAGGCGGATACTTTTTATCATTTAACCAATTGCTGCTATTGGGTAGTCACGTATGTAATGTGCCTCTAATGGGGCTAACTGGTATATTAAGCTTTTCCCAAATCCCGTAGGAAGAAAGGCAATAACATCTTTCCCCTTGATAAAATTCACCAAACAATCTCTTAATTCTGGCTTTAAATCCTCAAACTCGGGAATCGTTGACATCACTGAATATATGGCTCTTCGCTGACTGGCTGGTGCCCCAACTTGCACTCCTGGAGTTTTTGCAAACCGTCTAGTGTATTCTGATTCCTGACCTAGTTGCTGGAGAGAAATTAAATTGAGCGGAGGCACTAGGTGGCGCCAGCCTGGGTAGACGGCAATAGGATTAAACCTCACACTACCTGTTTTAGGCTCCCTGTTGAGGACTTTTGATTATCCTAATAGAATATTTTGTGAAAACCATGGATACACATTCAAAAAAATAGAGTGAAATCTAAAAGCTTTATTTGACCAAAAAAAAAACAACAACCTCTAAACTCCTAGTGGCTATCAGGAAATAAATGCAATTAGTTATTAAATTAACATTAATTTGGATTAATTGATTTAGTGGAGATAGAAAGCATAACTTGGAGCCATTCCAAATGAAGTAATAACAATTCCAAGATAAGCAGGCGGTGTACCTCCCTTCAGGCCGAGTTACAGGTCAGATCTGTGGAGATCTGAGGCAAGTACACATGCATCTACCTTAGCCTATTAGTCTGAAATTCACGCGGTGGAGCTTTAAAGAAAAAAGCAGAAAACAGAATCTCTGCATCCACCAAGAATTACCTTGAGACGCAACATCACACATCACAATAAAGAATATATAAAAACAACCGCCCACAGATACCAGGGTCATGCTCCCCATAACGCATGTCTCCTCTGCTCTTTATATAAACATATCCACTATCTCCCTGTAAGCGCCCCCTTGAGGCCTGCATCATCCAGTACAGAATCTCCCTAAAGACAGAGCCCATATACTCAGGTCTGAATTATTGACAACAAAGCCAAAGGTACAAGCACTCCTCCTCACAGTTACATAACCGGCCCGGTCCTCCTGCAATATGCACACGGCACTAGAGTGGGGTGAGCATACATAATACTGACATGTTACCAATGATTTTATTTATATAATCATTGGTAATATGTCGGTATTGCAGAGCTTCTGGGACATGTTTTAAGACACCGATACGATCCTTAACATGCTCACTAACAATAATTTGAGATACTGCTTCATGGAATTTAAAGTGGAGCTAAACACACACACTTAGATTTAGATGTTTTCAGATGTGGCGTTTCGTAATTGTCCCAGAAAGTCTCAAATTTGTATTTATATAAGGCTGTTCTGTAGTTACTTGAGGGCTAAATAACAGCTACACAACACATTTGGAGAGACAGGGTTGCTCAAACATGCGTGAATGAAACAAAACAGAAATTCAGGTATGTTTTTGATAAGCTAACAACATTATAAAATGACATAAAGCTCACAAGATTCAATTTTGCGTAATAAAGGACTTTTATGCGTTTACACGTTTACACTCGCTCTAGTTTCATTGCTGTTTAGTGCTGAAAGATATTCTAGGGAAATTATATTAAAATCAGATATATATAGATGTGGACTGAGGGTTTGGTTAATTTGCAACCAAGATGCTGTCAATCAAACCGAATGTTAATGCTAATGGGAGTTGACCTTGGGAAACCTGACTGTTATGTTATTAATGTACATATCTTGATTAGCGAAATAAAAAAAACAGAGCAGTTTAATACAACAATGTTAAGGTCAGAATGGCGAGCCTGACAGCAGCAGTTGCAGAGAGAGCAATAAAAGTTCATTGGAGCCAGAGTCAGATGGAACCAATTCACGTCCATGCTCTCTTCCTATTTGGAACGCTTTGGATTTGTTGTCATAACCCGTTAGCCTGGCTGGCGCCATCTAGTGCCTCCGCTCAATTTACTTTCTCTCCAGTGACTAGGTCAAGAATCGGAATACACTAGACCAGGGGTGTCAAACTCATTTTGGTCCGGGGGCCGTATCCAACCTACTTTGATCCCAAAGGGGCCGGATCAGAAAAACACATGGCATATAAACCCCAAAAATAACAATAAGTTCAAATATTTGTGCAGAGAAACACAAATCTATTACAGAAATCTTTTTTAATTGATGAACTCTTTCTTATTATAATATTATAATATTATGAACCTGAAACTTTAAGAAAAATTCAATTTCAACACAATGTTTTAACATGAACTTGTATGTAAACAGGAATAAGTCAATTTTTCTTGGAAAATCCTGCACTCGCCTCCACTTTTCTCATGTTGGACATTTTTCTGATGAGGGTGTCACGGTCAACAGTCAAAACGATCGTCCTTTAAGAGCGTTTGGAAAGAGACAAGTCTTCATTTGTGCTGCTCTGGTGGGAGGGGCCACGTACAGAGACGCTGGAGACGCTGCTGTGATAAACACCACAGAAAATTAACAATATTTTAATAGAAAATATAATTAAAATATTTTAGTAGAAAATCACCCAAGGGCCACATTAAAGGTCTTGGAGGGCCGGATCTGGCCCCCGGGCCTTATGTTTGACACCTGTGCACTAGACAGTTTCCAAGAATCCTGGAAGTACGAGTTTGGGCACCAGCCAATCGGCAAGAAGCAATACAGTCTGTGTTGGCAATGATTCCTGAGATCGAGGATTTAAAGCCGGAACAAAGAGAATGTTTGGTGAATTTTATCAAAGGGAAAGACGTTATTGCCCTTTTTCCTACTGGATTTGGGAAAAGCTTAATATACCAGTTAGCTCCGTTAGCGGCGCATTACGTATGTCCCAACCAAATTGCAGCGATCAGTTAAATGAAAAAAAGTACACCCCAACCGTTAAGTGAAGGAATTCGAGACTAAGAACCAGTAAGCCATTCAATTGTATCTCTCCGTTTTGTTCTGTATTACTAAGACAGTCCATGTTTCCAGACATAGCATTTCATAACTGTACCAGAAATTCTCAAATTTTCATTTATATAAGGCTGTTCTGTAGTTACTTGAGGGATAAATAACACCTACATAACACATGTGGATCAGTTTTGTCTTATTTTATTTAGCTGAAAGAGAAACAAAATGCTATTAATAGTCGGAATAGGTATCGAAACTGAAAAAGCTGGATCGGTGTATCCCTAATATCTCCACACTGTAACACCTGTGTGCTCTTTCTCCCCACTTATATAGGGCAGCTAACTGCACGATACAATACATGGCCAAAATGTCTCCAACATCTAATATTAGGCGTACAAAAAAACATTAGCAACAGTACATAATACTATACTATGCCCTATATGCAGTGTGTAGCGGAACAAGTACATTTATTCAATCAATCAATCAAACAACAACTTTATTAATCTCAAAGGCCAATTTAGTTTGCACATCTCTGGTCGTGCATAGTCCATAAATAAAATAAAGAAAATCAAATGCAGCACACGCCGTACATTCAAACCTCAGTGCATCAGGACCACAATGGCAAATTTATTTCCATTTATAAAAGCTTTATGGCAGAAGGAATAAAAGATTTAGCGTAGCGGTTTGTCTTTTATTGTGGCATGACATATTTAGTGTTTAGATCCACTTTGATTACGCAGTACTACCCCTAAACAGTGTGTACAGTATCGTATAAAGGCAGTATAAAGTGAAAAGGCCATGCACTGATTGGTTTTCAGCATTTTTATACTAACTTTGAAGAGTGAATGAATAAAGAAAAGAAAAAAAGAAACTATTTAATCAAAAGAAAAAAGTATTTTGGCATAATTTTAAGGTTTTTACTTTGCAGTGCATAGAAAACAAGTGTGTATAATATAGAAAATATTTGTACTACATAGAATATATCCGTACTGCAGACATTTGTACAACATATCTACAAGATATCTATACCACAGAGTACTGTACAGAAGATATTTATATATAGAAAATATTCAAATTTCAAATTGGGTGAATGTGAGCCTGGTTAATCCTGGTTTAGACCTGACTTTAGTTCTGATTTTAGTCCTGGTTTAGACCTGGTT